ACATTTTCTTGGTTAATGATTGATATGGAAGGACCCAACCAACTGTAGGCAGAGCCACCACTGGACAGGTGGTATAAGAAAGCAGACTGAATAAGCCATGGAAAGCAAGCCAGTGAACAGCACCCCCCTCCATGGCCTCAGCTTCAGTTCCTGTTTCCAGGTTCCTGCCTTTAGTTTCTGCTCTGACTTCTGTCAGTGATGGAACTGTAAGCTGTAAGCTAAGATTCTTTCCTCTCTAAGTTGCTTTTGACATAGTCTTAATCACAACAATAGAAAGCAAACTAATATAGTCAAACCTCAGCTAAATAGTGAGTCTGAGGCCAGCCTAGGCTACATGAGACCCTGTCTCTAAAATAATACCCCAAATAAAAACAATAGATTCTGCTGGTTTGAGCTAAGATTGACCCCAAATTATGCTAAGCACTTGAGATTGATGGTTTGTTAACATAGCATAACCTAACTGATTCTAACTAATACACATGCACATAGCTTATTGAGTGACTTCTTTGGGGCATAGTCTAAGTGCGTATATGTCACAGTTTACTTTACAACCACCTGGACAGAAGATGTCGTTTTCATTTTGCAGAGAAAGAGGGCTGTCAGCAGCACACTCAAGCTCCTAAGTGGCTGATTTTCAACTTCTCAGTAGGACGGTAGCCAGAGATCTTAACTAAGACCCAGCAACTAATATCAAATCCCTAATATTGTCTGTAGATGTTTGGTTACAGGTTGGGTAACTATTCCCCTTCAGCACCTACAAAGTCTTAAAGAAAGTGTCCCAGCAAGAAGTGGCTGGGGAGACTGAATCCCCAAGAAGTAACTCAGTCTTGTACCCATTGTGCCAAGTATGGACTTACTGAGGGACCGTGGGTGATGCTGTTGGGACTTTGTTGGAGTGAGGCAGCCAGCAGCAGTGTTGAGGGTAGACTCACTGGCAACACTGTTGCAACAGCAACAGAAGATCTTGGATGCCATGTGTTGGTGGTGTTAGGAAGAGGAAAAGGTATTGGGTAGCTGGCTGTGCAGCCCCAATCCCAGAAGCCCATTGTTGTTTAAGCAATGGGTCACACTGGTCTCCTCCCCACCCACTGTCAAGCTGCTTGTGGCTCCCTGTGGCCTCCTGAAGTTCACCTGTCCAGTTCCACCACTCTGAGGGCTAGCCCTTCTTCACTGTCCAGAGTTCACCTGTCAATAGAAGGGTGACAAGCTCATACTCTGCTGCTCCTCCTTCAGCCAGCAGGTAGTGATGGGGGTCGTTCCTTACAGCTCATTGGCTTAGCTCTTTCCTGAATGAAACCTGACATATTCTTTGTCAGGTCTCTGACAGCAGAACTTTAGCACATACAGCCCATGCATAGATTTGAGGTGAGTTATCTTCTGCTTGCAAGGATGCTGAGTGGACCTTTAGGACCTGAGACTCTGCTTCTCATCAGGAAAACAGGAAGAACAGTGTAACCAGAGGAATATGCATCTGCTTGTCAACTGCTGCTGTGATGGTGATGGTGGAGGCTCCTGAGAAGTCCCTCTGCTTGCTGTCCCCTTTTCTCATGGGCCTCATTGGTTCCAGTTAATTCCAGTTGGGCCTATGTCTGAGGGAGCAGGACCATGAAGTTCATTCAAATCCTTGCCTCACTGTGAATTGCTGTGTGGCTGTGGCCTAGTTCTTGCCTGTCTTTGGCCTGAGGGCCACATCGACAAGAGAGATGATTGACCGGGTCATCTTCCCAAGGCTCTGATGACCCAAGGTGGTAAGTCTACCATATTCCAATCGCCTTTCTCTCTTCTGTGTCCTGCTCTAGAACCCTTTTCTCTATAACAAAGACTTGTTAGAGAAAAAATGGCAGATGGGTTGGTTGGTATGCGAAAGGAACTTGCATGAAAATATCCTTCATGAACGAGCTTTATTAGGAGAGATGGTCGAGACTGTGAGATCATGACTGAGCCTCGAGGCGGGACAGCATTAGAAATGGGACAGTACATTACATCAGATACTGCATGACAAGGACTTGAGAAAGAGGCTTCCCTTTAAAAGCTAGAAAGGAGCTTCATTGAGAGGTGTGGCTTAAAGAAAGAGATAGCTGTCATGGACAGCATGAGGCAGGGAGGCCTAGAGAAGAAACCTTCAGAGCAAACTCCCTCAATCAAAGGAAAATAGGTGACTTTTGTATCCTTTTGGGGGCTAGCAGGAGGGTCTGCACTGTGTGTGATTTAGTTCAATAAAGTCTATGTGACAAAGCACATGGAAATGCCAGGTACTAGGCAAGATTAGAAGTTAGGTGATGTTAGGCACAGCATGACTTATTAACTCTCTGTCCCAGAGACACAGTGGTGGGGGCGGGAGTTGGGAGTGTAGGGGTGGACCGACCTGATTTCAAGATATGGGATGTGGCCTCTCAGAGTGACCAGTATCTTAAAGGGTTGGGTCTAGGATCTCATAGTCCCCACTTTGGAAATTTCCATCATAGTTGTTGAATGTCAGTCATAGCACCCCAAGTCTACTCTGTGGTGTCATTGTTGGGCTCTGGCTTCACATCTACCTTTCCAATCTCCTCCCTATCCCTCTCCCTCCCCGCTGGGTTATTGCATTGGCTGCAACTGCTCTCTTGCTCCTTCCAATTGGTCTTCCTTGAATGAGTCAGGTCATATCACTTCTGTCTGCTAGTAGCCACCATGATGGCTAATGTTGGCTGTCAACTTGACTTACTTGGGAAGACAGAACCCTGATTAAGGAATTGCCCCTTTCAGACCGACCTGTGGGGCATTTTCTTGATTGCTAGTTGATATAGGAGGGCCCAGCCCAGTTTGGGCATGCCACCCCTGGGCAGGTGGTCCTACGTTGTATAAGCAAGCAGGCCCAATGTAAGCAGGCAGAAGGAAGCAACCCAATAAGCAGCATTTCTCCATGTCTTCGGCTTCAGTTGTCCTTGCAGAGTCCCTGCTTTGGCTTCCCTTGAGGATGAACTGTAAATCTGTAAACTAAAACTCTTTTTATTCCCCAGTGTCTTTGGTTATGGCTGTTTATCATAGCAACAGAAAAGCGAAGTAGAATAGCCTCCTTTGCCCTGCAGGATAAGAGGAGTGTGAAAGCGCCTTCACCTTGCCTTAGTCCTGACCAGCACTGTCTCCTCCTCGTTCCTCTTCTCTCGGTTCCAGCAGCCAAGCATGCCTGCTGCTCTTCATTTTCTCATCTTCTGCCAGCAGTGCTTTTTCCTAGAAGTCTGCCGGGTAGTGCTCCCCACCCCCTCCTTCGCGCTTCAAGCCTTTGCTTACAGGTTGCCTTGGCTGACCTTGTCTGGCCCATTCACCTTACTTTTACGACTCTCCACACTCCTGTTTCACTTCCCATGCCTTGCTATATTCGAACTCTGCCTAGAATTGAGTCATTTGTATGTGCTCAGACCCTCTGTGAAGGGGTCTTTGTCTCTTGTGTTGTTCTGAGTGTAGAGACATATTTCATGGACTTTGCGGGGGAATGGGTGAATGAACCTGGATTTATCCTGCCCTGGTCCTATGCATCAGTAGGCGATGTCAGCAAGAAGCAGCAGGAATCATTCTTAATTCAAGAATGCCACAACTAAGAAGACACTGTCTTATCTATCTGCCAAGCTGATTGATAGTTTTTGTGGATGACTTGTGGGGGGTACATTGACCATCTATTGGTGGGCTCCGTGGTAACCCATCTGCTTCTCTTCTTCCATTGGTCCCTCTCTGGGGGCAAGTCCTATTTATGTTATATCTAGAGACAGGAATGGAGAACCTCCCTCGCCCCATTGCCCTCCTCACAGTGAATTATTCTTCAAAGCCTTTTGATTCCAATCTGTACATATCTTTCATCTGCTACCCCATGCCTATTGCCCTTCCTGTTACCCTGTTTGCCTCTGGTTCATGACCACAGATGGTCACTTTGGCTTACTTGCAGCCAGAAGATCTGCTCCATGGTAAACTCCATCACTGTTTTGTGAGCTCACAAGGGCTCCCTGTCCAGCTGCATTGGCTTTAGGCTCTGGCCCTGTAGATGCCACCTGTCACCCTGTGCTTTCTCTTGGCTCACTCCCTGCTATACAGCATGGGAACTCCCCGGTTGGGGCCCAGCCTGCTCTTTCCAGGATTCCTCTGTGCTGTTCACCTGCTGTTCCTCCCTCCCTCCCTCTGCCCTGCATTCCTTTCTCACTCCTTACTGTCACCTCCTCAGGAAGCTGTCCTTGTCCTGGGATGAATCAGGTTCCCCTTTGTAGTCCCTCTGCTTTTGGCTTTCCTGAATTGTGGCCTTTACCTGTCACCGGAACAGTGTCTGCCTAATCTCTAGTAGGTGCCCAGCAGTATTGGCTGAATGGTTATTTGCCTGTGAAAGAAATCTGGGATTTATTTGTGTAATTAGTAAGGGTTCTGGCTATGTGGCCTAAGCTGGTTTCAAACTCTTCATCCTCTGGCTCCGTCCGCCCCGCTGCTGTGACTACAGATGCATGTATGACACATGCCCAGCTGAAATAGACAGTTTTAAAAAATGGTCCAGCATATATATTTAACACTGTGGGTTCGGAATCCATGGATTCAATCAGCTATGGATGAAAAAGTTCTGAAAAATGTGCATCTCTGCTAAGCATATACAGACTTTTATCATTTCCTGAGCTACAGAACGTAACAAGTGTTCCTGTAGCGCTAGGCATTATAAGTAACCTGAAATGGTTTAAAAGATAGGGTGGGGCTGGAGAGATGGCTCAGTGGTTAGGAGCACCGACTGCTCTTCCAGAGGTCCTGAGTTCGGTTCCCAGCAACCACATGGTGGCTCACAACCTTCTGTGGTGAGATCTGGTGCCCTCATCTGGCCTGCAGGGACACATGCAGGCAGAATACTGTATACATAATAAATAGATAAATCTTTAAAAAAAAAAAAAAAAAAAGATAGGGTGTATCTCTCCCTCTCCCTCCCCCTCCCCCTCCCTCTCCCTCTTTCTCTTCTCTCTCTCCTCTCTCTCTCTCTCTCTCTCTCTCTCTCTCTCTCTCTCTCTCTCTCTCTCTCTCCTCCCTGTAGGTTAGATTCAAATACTATGTCCTATTCAGGGACTTGGATGCGCATGTGGTTTGGTATCCAAGGCTGTTTTGGGACTAGTTCTCTATGGATACCTGGGGACAAGTATTTATGGAGGATTTCCTGGTGTAAAGTCCTGTGTGAAATCCTGAGGATTCTGAACAGAAGCAACATTTTTGTTCTCAGAGACAGGATGGGTCACCATCACCTTTGGGTCTCTGGTCACACCATAACTCAGGCAGAGTAGGTGTCCACTCTGTGTCCTCTGTGTTGGCAAAATTGATGCCTAGAGCTCCTCTGACTGTTGAGTCACACAGTCCTCCCCAGTCTCCTTTCCGCCAGTGGGTTTTTTCTCCCTAGTTGTGAAACAGCTTCATTTGGGACTTGGTTATACAAGTTCATGGGAAGAGGACCAGCCTCAGTGTGAGGCATGCTGATGTTCATTGATTATCTGCAGCAGGTCTTTTGGCTTCTGAGACTTCTTCTTTTTCTTTCGTCTTGTCTGTATATATGACACAGGATGGTGTCCCGCTTTGTTAGAGGGTGCTGGGTCTCAGAAATGTGACTTGTCCCCGTGTCACAGCCCAAAGGAACAGCGTGGACTCCATTGATTTTCTTTCCTTTTCTTTTCCATCACTGGGGATGGAGCCTGAGTCTTGCCCATGTTAGGCAAAAATTCTACCGTGGAGCTCTACCTTAGCACCGTTAGTGTGGTGTTGTGGGAAGCCAGAGTCCCTGCTGTCTACTGCCTCACCCTGCAGGCTGTTCCAGGACGACATGTTCAGGAGCATCCGGTACTCTGAGAGCTGATGGAGGGGCACTTAAATATCAAGGCTTCACCTGAAGATGGACAGAGTGACATTTTGGTTAAGCACACACCCTTTTTACTTAAGTGGATGTTGGAGTGTGTGTGTCTTATTTTCTATAACACCTTGAAGTGTGACCCAAAGCAAGTTTTCTCCTCTTGAAGCTCAGCTTCTCTCTCTGTACAATGGTGTGATAAAACCTGTCCAATGTTGTGAAGATTGTGTGGCATGAAGGTCTAAGGGCTTAGGAAGGCATCTTGCATACAGTAAGTGCTTATGTCACCAAAATATGGTGACACAGGGGACATGTAGGCTGGGTTTTTTTTTTTCACTACCTGTGCGCCCCACCCCCTTAGATGAATGTAGGAGCCAAAGAGGAGAACTTTGGTTTTGTCTTCAACAGACTGTGAGCCTGAGGTCTCTAGAGACCCCACACCACAGTGGCCAGATGAAACAAGGTTCTGAGATCAAGCCAGCAGGTTTCTAGAGTTGAGGGAGTCCTTTGGGGTTATCCAGTACATGTGGGGTGAGCCAGGAGCCAGAAGGAGAAACAGTTGGTGGAGGCCAAGGAGGGGTAGCATCTACTGGTGGTAGCAATTAAGTTTATGTTCAGGAGTGTGGGGGCACTGTCATCCTTTTAGTGCAGAGATGTTCCCCCTCCCACTCTTAGGTCTCACCTTTAACTCTCCCTCACTTGCTACTGGCCAAGTGGATAGGAGACTGTGATGTCACAGAGTTGAGAACTGGGAAAGGCTGGTGACAGGGGTTCTGGACAGGACCACAGTTCTGGGAGGAGGGAGCCTGGGTGCTGACCTCCTCTGCAGTGGTGTGTCCCACGGTCTACCATGTATTAGGTTGTTAGAAAGGGTATCTCCTGTCTGTGGATTAGTAGCCTAGCTAGGATGTGTTCTTCTTCTGAGAGAGCTAGACATACTGTGTAACTGCAGGTGTAGGCCCCTGCCACTGGCCCCACCTGCTCAGTTTCCTGTGTGAGGCCACCTGGACACTCCTCAACAAGGCTACCTTTCATCTTCATGGTTTGTGCCACTGTCCTAGGTTGGACATCTTTCTTTCTGTGACCCAAAGATGTTAGTCTAACTGAACCAGTCAAAGCATAATGCACTCAAGAAGATATGGTAGGGAAGGGAATGGAATTCAGGCTCAGTGTTGCCTTGTGCTCCAGGTAGACACTATTGCTGTACTCACATTACGGATTAAGAAACTGAGGCACAGAGTCCGAGGCTGAATGTTTTAGCGGACTAGGCACTGTCTGATCTCTTGATCTAGTTAAGTTCTTTTTTATGCCTGCCACGACCATTTCTCCTGTTCTCTCCTGGCCTCTGTGCTGTGTCAGGAGCGAGTTCAGAGCTGGATGGGAGACTGTCTACATGGACAGGAGTAGGCCCATCGGGTAACCGGGGTTGTCTCCACCCGAAGGCCACACATTAGCACTCTTGCCTGTTTAATCTGCAGTGTGGGGTAATGTGCTCCCAGGTTCTAGGAAATGGAGGAAAGGCCATTCTGCCTACCACACACTTTACACACTTGTATCAGGAAATGAAAAGAAGGAAATAAATTCCCAATTCAACAATCAAGGAAAAGCGTGTGACTATTGAGATGGCTCAGTAGGTAAAGGTAATTGCTACCAAGTCTGACGACCTGAGTTTAATCCCTGGACCTCACATCGTGGAAGGATAGAACCGATTCCTGTAAGCTGTACTCACTCGGACCTCTACTTGTATGCCCTGGCCTGCCCCATCTCAATAATACATAATGGAATATAATGCAAATCAAAAGACAACTACTACTAAGGTAATAAAGATTGCCTATCATTAAACCCAGAAATTGCACTAGAGAACAAAAGTAACAAAGCCAAACTAATAATCTTTTGTAAAAAAATTACAAACCAGCCGGGCGGTGGTGGTGCACGCCTTTAATCCCAGCACTGGGAGGCAGAGTCAGGTGGATCTCTGTGAGTTCGAGGCCAGCCTGGGCTACAGAGTGAGTTCTAGGAAAGGCACAAAGCTACACGGAGAAACCCTGTCTCGAAAAACCCAAACCCAAAACAAAACAAAACAAAAAAAAACAAACCCAACAAACAAACAAAACAAAACAAAAAACAAACCAATAAAGTGGGAAGACTTGACAAGGAACTAAATCAAACAAGTGACTTTTGTTTTTATTTCTGTGGTATTAGGGATCAAATCTGGACCTTCTACATGCTGGGCAAGTGACCCATCGCTGACGTCCACATGAAATCCCTTCAGCAAGCAATCTAAATTTCCACTCATATGGGACCCTGTGTGCTCTGTACCTCCTGATATCACCCGTTAGGGAGGGCACCATGTTCCTCCTAGGCCATTCCTGCCTTAAATGGGAAGCTCGACTCTGATCCAATGGAAATACCAGATAATTCTAAACTGAACACTTGAAATGTGTGAAACCCACGGTGACTGCGTGGAATCCATGGCCTTGGGTGAAAAAGTGCTGAGGCATTTTGGGACAATTGATGGAATTTAAATAGGATTGTCTTAGTATGAGATGCTTTACTTTTTGGTACCTGGCAGAGTTAAAGGAGGATGTCCTTTGTCTATAAGAATTGCTCTATGAAGGATTTAGGGAAGGGGGCAGGATGCTCACTCTCAGGTCATTCAGGAAAAACAAAGGAAAATTGGTAAGATGAACAGGAGAAATGTGCAAACCACTGGTGAATCTGAACTAGTTTTTCTTTTCCTTTTTTTTTATATTGAGACAACTTTTCTGTAAATTTGAAATCATTTCAAAAGCTATTCACAACGTTAAGTTTTTTCATAGGTTATTTAGAAGTGACAGTCTAAGAACTGATAAGCTATTTATGAGGCATGGGGGAGGGACAAAAAGGAGGGACACGTCCTCTGATGCGACCAAGGACTTTAATTGCGGGCAGCCTCCCTCCCTGGCTGCGTCAGGGGCTGGAGTGACTCATGCTGGTGGCACAGGATGGCTCGGACCTCTTCCTTCCTGCGGTGGAGTTTCTGAATCGGTCTTCATGACTCCTGTCCACCACTCTCTTCACCCTCCTGGAGACCCTCCAGCAGCCGCACAGCTCAGAGCCTGTGTGACACCGCCACTAGAACCCTCAGGGTCTCCCCATGAGGCACGGCTGGAAGGACCAGTGCTCCTGGTAGTAGCGGTTTAGATTTTTTTTAGGGTATCCTGTTTGGATGTTGTATGCGGTCAGCTCTGAAAGAAGGAAAGCATGCTGTGAAGGCCTTTGAGCTAGACTCGGATGGACTGCTGTGGCTGGATTCCTCTGGGATGGGTTCCCAGATTCCAGGAGTTCCTTGGGAGCCCAGGCAAACCCCGGCTGAGTTAGGAGGCCTGGTGGTGTTCTGCGGTGGTGGAATCGCTGACAACAATGTCTTGCACATAGGAACCAGGAAACTCGGGCTCGTCCTGGCTTAGACATCGTGGTGTTTCCTGGTAGGCTGCTGAAAGTCCCTTCCCCTGTGCAGATTTCAGCCTACTTTGGCGTGAAATATTAGAAAGGGAGGGGTGGGCGAGCCAGTGTGGCCCTCAGCTCCTCACTGTTGGTTCAAGTAGAACAGGTAGGCTGATGCAGGAAAATGTACCCTTCGATGGGCTTTGCAACAAGGGCTTGACTGACAGGTGGGTTCTGCAGTGGGGAAGTGTGAGTGATTCTTAGCTATCAATGGCCCCTAGGGGACAAGGGGCTAGGTGAGGCCATCTGGGCACAGGATAAATTTCCTTCAGCATGGCTGCCTTTCTTCTTCATGGTTTGTGCTACTGAACTAGGTTGGACATTTGTTCTTCTTTGACCCACAGACATGTCACCCCAACTGAGCCCATTAGCATTTTCAGATAGTGCTCATTTGACAGGTACCTGGCTGGATTTGGGGGAACATCAGAAAACAAACCCAATGTGGACCTACCAGTGTGGAACCAATGTGGGCCTGCCCCTCTGGAACCAATGTGGGCCTGCCCCTCTGGAACCAATGTGGGCCTGCCCCTCTGGAACCAATGTGGACCTGCCACTCTGGAACCAATGTGGACCTGCCACTCTGGAACCAATGTGGACCTGCCACTCTGGAACCAATGTGGGCCTGCCACTCTGGAACCTATGTGGACCTGACACTCTGGAACTCAGTGTGTAGCTTCCAAAATAGAGATTAAACAGAGTCACACAAAATGCACACTCAAGACCACACTATGGTGCCCAGAGGAGTGCGTGTGGATGTGGAACATCCTTTCATCCCAGACCCACTCCTTCGTATGCAATGCCTAACTTGGAAAATGATGGAGTTGGACTCAGGCATTGTAGTGTCCACAGCATCCTCTGGAGTGTGAACACAGCTAGTTCACATACCCATAGGACCTGGCCATCAGGACAGAGCCCCCCTTCCCAGAGGCCAGTGTCAGGACCTCACTCTGGGACTCACCTTCAAAATCACTGCTGCTGGAAGAGTATCTCTTTTCTTGACCAAAGAAGGACTGTGCATTAGTGTGCTTGGGATTTTGTTTGTTTAACTCATTCTTCTGGGACTGCGAACCTGACAACGAGAATTCCATGGGGGTCCTGTGGGAAGGCTTGACCAATCACAGAAGTGAGGGCATTAAGCCAACAGAAGCAGCATGTAGGTGAATGATGAAATGGGAAAATCTGAACATATTCCTCTTTAAGCAGGTGCTAAATTTAAAAATATGTATTTTTTCAAAGCATCAACATTTTCCTATTTTTAAATGAAATGCATATCCATTATGAAAAGGAAAAATGATCTAACTCCTCTCCTCCCAGATACTATCTTTCCCTAAGCATTTTTTTTAACATAGTTCATCAGATTGTGTGTCCTATGTATGTGGTTCATTTTCTTCATATACAGTATAAACATTTTTTCCCCATGTCACTACATGAAAAAGTAGTAGTTGTATGGTATTCTCTTTCATGGATAATTCAAGGTTTATTTAACCAATAGACTATTGTGTGTTTAGACTTTTTCTAATTTTACTACTGCAAAGAAAGGCATGGATTATATTTAAACCTTTATGTACTTCTAGAATGGTGACAAAAAACTTCAGAGACAGGCTAAGTTCTCTGGAGCAGGTGTGACAGCTTTGTCACTGGATGTGTGACATCGTCTCCTCTACCCATACCTGCAATATGGTACGTCTGTTTTGGATAATAGTGTTCACCTTTGAGCTACAGTGTAAATTGAGAAATGCTTGTCACAAGTACACTGTGGCAGGGTGGGGGACCCACCTAGAGCTGAACGGTGCTGCACACGTGCTGGTGAACTGGAGATTACACTTCACCTTATCATCTGGGGAAAGGGAATTTGTGTTCTTAAGATTTTGTTCACTTTTATTGTGAAACTACTTTCAGAAACCCTTCAAAATCTCTCATGGGTTTATGGATGTCCTGCTAGGTTTCTGTGTGTCCTGCTGTGAGGATATTTTCCTGCCCTTTGTCCAGTCCCACTGGGCAGATTTCCACCAGCTCTCTGTCTTGCTATGTCTCTGTGAGTCTTAGCTTTGCCTGATCTTGATAATATTGCTCTTTTTTTCTTTCTCTGAAATTGCTGTTTTTGACCCTGACTTTTCTGTCCTGGGCCATCAAGAAGGCTGTGATACAAACTGGAGGCTGGGATGCCTTCTCTGTTTCTGCCTCGTTCCCTGATACAGAACCAAGGAGGTCTCATATTTCTGAGGATGAAGATGAGAAGGAATGGTGATGTGGCCTGGACTTTGACCATTGGAACTCCAAAGCTTCTTAACAGAAGGCCTTGCCCAAGTCTTCCTGAACTCCCCCATCTCCGTTTCTTCTCCACCTCTTTTGTTCTAGGCACTTAAGCATATTGTTTTATTTCACATACCCATGACTCCCCAAGTGTATTTATTAATACTCCCATTTTACAGAATAGGCTAGCGGAGGCTAGCAGAGGCACAGACAGATTAAGTGACTTGCCCAACCTCTGTGGTAGACTGAGACTCAGAGGGGCACATCCGATCTGAGGGCAGGGGGCTTAACTATCATCTTATAATCTTCAACCTTGTTCCTCAGATTACAAAGTACATCCAGATTTGCCTGGAGAACACACTAAAATACAGTTTCTGACTTCATAGGCCTGTCACAGGGTCTGAAGATGCTCTTTTTGGTTTTGAGACAGAGTCTCATATATCCTGAGCTGACCTCCAGCTCAGTAAGTAGTAGGGATGACCATGAGACGCTCATCTTCCTGATTTCACCTCCCATGTTCTGGGAGTACAGGTGTGTGCCAGCATACTCTGCTTTAAATGTGGGGCTAGGATGGGATCTAAGGTTGAAGGCTTGTTAAGCAGGCTCTCTTATCGATGGAGTTACAGCCTCAGCCCTGAACATGCATTCCAAGAAGCTCTCTGGTGATGTCAGTGCTGCAAGACCTCAGTCTACACTTTAACGTGCAAGCTCGAGCTCACTGGCTCTTTGGGGGCTTAGCCACCTATCTGCCACCTCATTATAGCTTGGAATTTTTTTTTCAATCAAAAGATGAAAGGTATATCTACAAAACCACTCCCCAACCCAAGGCTCAGGGGACATCGTGGAAGAGGGGGTGAAAAGATTGTAAGAGGGAGTTGGCTGTGTGATTTGTGTCTCCTGATAAAGTCAGAAGCTACACCCATAAAGTCTCTCCAACATGACTGCCCAAACATGAACCGAACAAGGAAGACATGGATAGACATGTCCAGGTGGATAGGAGAAAGTGCACAGACTCAATCCTACACAGAGAACTACAGGCAACGAAGGGATATAGTCTTCCTTAGGGAACAGCTCACACCAATCAGTTATTCAATATCAACTTATCAGCCCCGAAAACATACAAGTAACATTATACAGATGGAGCAGGTTGTACTTAAGTATTTAGAAATATATATGTATATACTTATATGCATGTAACAATTAATGAAAAAAAAGAGGCCATGAATATGAAAGAGAGCAAGGAGGGTTTGGAGAGAAAAAAGGGAAGGTGAAAATGATGTAATTATATTATAACCTCAAAAAATAAAGGTAAAATAATGATGAAGGAAATCGGGGGTCATTTTAGGAGGAAGGTGATACAAGCTGAGACTTAGGGGTTGTTGTCTGAAACCTACTGTAGGTTGGTGGCTGGCTCCCTTCGGTTTGTCTAGGATCCGTGGAGCTCTCAATGACAGCTTCCTCACAATCCCGGCAGCATAAACAGAATATCTTTGAGGCCAGGTTTTGGTGTGTTGCTGTAGGAGGTAAAAGAATGGGGACTATGGATCCTTGGATCTGCATTTCATGTATTTGTTAGAAATTGTGACTCCTTGTGTTCAGGAAGTCCATGGTGGTTCTTTCTAAGCTGCCGTGTGTGTGTGTGTGTATGTGTGTGTGTGTGTGTGTGTGTGTGTGTGTGTGTGTGTGTGTGTGTGTGTGAATATGTGGAGGCCAGAGGGCAATATCTGTGTCAACTATTCCCCACCTCATTTTTTGAGATAGGGTCTCTCAGTGGACCTGGAACTTGCCAAGTTGGACAGAATGGCTAGCTAGCAACTCCCAGGGATCTTTCTATCTTTGCATCCCCAGTGTTGGGGTTAGGGCACTCCTTGCCATGCTCCATGTGGATGCTGGGGTCCAGACTCAGGTCCTAATGCTTTCATGGCAAGTACTTTACCGAGTGAGCGTCTCCCCACCTGGAAGCCCTCTGGGAAGGACCTTTCTTTCCTGTTCTATACAAACTTTCCTTACCCATAGTGAGGAGTTGAAGACTTTACTCTGCCAGCTTTGTCTGCAGTGGAACCGTTGGTGCTGAATTTGTGTTCACCAGGCAGGGCTGTTTCCTAGACGAACATAAGACCACAACTGAAAAGGGCTAGTCCTTCCTCTGTGTCTGCACTCTAGCCAGGACCTGCTGCAGCAGAATCCTAGCTCCTGCAGCAGGAGGCCACTGGTGATCAGGTTTCAGATGGCTCTGCCCCATTTCTAGGGACATGTTCTTGGTGGTGTTTTTTTTTTTTTTTTTTTTTTTTTTTTTTTTTGTCTTCTAGAGCCTCACTCTTTCCTGTGAGGAAATGGAACGGTGGTGCCTATTTTACAGAAGCAAAGTGCTGAATACATGCAGGATGACTCCGTGGTGTGGCATGCAGTAAGCGCTGAGCCAGTGGTCATTCATTCCTCTGGATTCCCCTCCAGGCTTGTTGCCTCTAAGTTTTCCCAACGCTCTGGTCCCACAGGAACATGGTAAGGAAGTGTATAGCCATGTAGGTTTAATTCATGGTGTGGACATTTACCATATGACTTTGGATAAGCACCTCAATGGTAAGAGGAAGTTAATCTGGGTGATCCCTCCAAAAATCTTCCCTGTGCCAATGGTACAAGAGTATAAAGTCTTGTTTTAGTCCCAACCTCCTTTTATATGTCAATTTTTAAAAACCTTTAGGTATGTCCCATTCACTTTTTGAGTCAAAACCTCCTTTTAAGGAATTGTTACCATAGTATTGATTAGGTATCTGTCATCACAATTCACCGCGTGAGGTGCTACATTGGTCCTAACTACTAACATCTTTTGTATGAATTTTTTCAATAGCCTCCTAACTTGTCTCCCTGTTTCTTTTACCATTAATGATTAATGCAAAATCTAGGATTCCCATGTTAATATGTGTTTTACCACACTTTTGCTCAATATTTCTAGTGGTAGAAAGGAATGGACATAATAGATGAAGAAATATGGTGTTGAAGAAAGAAATGGCAATCCTGGAATAGTAGACATTCTAGTTATAAAAAATACCAATTGAGGCCCAAGAGATGAATCAGTGGGTGAAGGCACTTGTTTTCAAGACTGACAGTCTGAGTTCAATCCTCAGGACCCACACGGAAGAAGAGAACCAACTCCCACAGCTGTCCTCTGATCTGTACACACACACACGCAAAAACAAAACAAAACAACCAAAACAAAACAAAACAAAACACCAGTATCTGAAAGAAAAATGTAGAGAAAATGGTCAACAACAAACTTAACAGCAGAAGATACAGTGAATCTGACGGAATAAAAAGGACAAACAGAAGTTGCACACTCAAAAGTAGAGAATGCGGAAACCGTTTTAAAGAGTGAGAACAGCCGCTCAGCTGAGGCACTCAGGGCAGGAGGCGGGAGGCCCGCAGTGGAAGCATTTGAAACGTGAATGACAGACTCCCCCTCCTCCAAGTTGAAGAGCACTGTCCTAAGTACTCAGAGTTCACCAAACATAAAAATGTAAAGTTACTCCTCAGCACATAAAAGTCTAATAGCCAAAAATGAAAGGAAGAAATGAAAAAAAAAACCCTTTAAACTTCAAAAGCAATCAGAATAATAATAATCCAAAGGTTCACTTGCATATGAGGGGGAAAGAAGAGAATGACCAACCTATTTTGCATCAGAAACAGTTGGAACTGGAAGACAATGGAGAAACATCATGAAATGCTGAAGTGAGAGCCCCAGAGCATCTCTGCGCATGTCTTTCAATACTTATGGTGTAAAATAAATGCATTGACAAATAAACAAGGTCACAATTTGGGTTCAGAAAACTAAGACTATAACAAAATGCTGAAAGTTTGTAAGGACATGATTGGGTTGGAAATACATTTCTAAAAAAGGGCTGAACAGGAAACAATAAAAACGTCTTGTGTGGGAGCCTTATGTAAAAGTTTCTTTTCCCCCTTAATTTCTCCCCCTAACAAGTCTTTAGTGGTTTCTTATGTTTCTCAGAAGAAAATCCAAAGTTCTTAGCTGGGTCTTAATCAAACTGTCACATTTCCCTGCTGCTCCATGCTCAACCACCTCAAAAAGCTCTCTGCCGTCAACGCAGGTGATTTCTCAACTAATTTCATTCAAGGCATATTGGCTACTTTGTCGATTAAAAACCCACCAAGCTCCCAGCTCAGGACTTTGTGCTTACATTGCCCCCTGACTGGAAGGGTGTTCTTGGAAATGTATTGTCTTTCAAGTTTTTGTTTGAATGTTACCTTTTCCAGTAACACATCCCTTTATCCACCACAATGAAAATTGTATCTTCCACTTCTTTTTTTTTTTAATATAGAAAGGAGCTATTTATTTGAAATGTCCAGAATAGGCAAATCTGTAGAGAAAACATAGCTTGATGTCTCCCCAAGACTGAGCAGTGGAAGAAGGATTACATGATGGATGAAAAGGATGGAATTTATTTTGAGAATAACTATGATTATAAAATTATGATTATGATAGGGAGGTATAAATATACTGAAAACATTGAATTTTATAAATGAAATGATTGCATTTCATGGACAGAAATTATGTATCAATAAATTGTTACAAAAATACCTTTATTGTCTTAACTTAGGTTCATATATTGCTTTCCTTTAAGCTCTTGTGAAGTATCAAGTCACAGGAGAATCAAAGCCTATAGTTTCAAAAGAAAAAGAAAAACTTTTCCTATTATATCAAGTCTTTCCCTCTACCAAAAGTATTCATTTCACTGCTCAAAGTACTGAAAGACTTACATTTTTCCCAATTAAATGAATTCCAGTCCCAAGACTTATTAAATCTTACTGAACATTGCTGCATTTAAATTGGAGTCCTCCTTCCAAATTGGCAGGTTTCAAAATTTCGGTGAGAACCACACTCTTCAATTTCACATTCATGATTTATTGTCTTAAAGTGTTTCCCTACTCTGTGAAAATGTAATGAATCAATGTATGTTAACAACGACTGTTGCCGGATATCTTCCACTTCTAATCCTTGTTCCCACTTTCTGACTCGTCCTCAACTCACTGTGTTTACAGCTGCCTTCCTTCAGTGGGCCCCATCACAGGAATAATGGACTTGGCTCAGTGTTCTTTTCTTAGTGTTAGTACACAGTATAATGTGGAAAGTCAGTAAATGATTGCTGAATGAACGAACCAGCATCCGTTCCTCTTTGTCTTGGGGTTGTAAGCTCTAGAGGAAGTAATAAATTGGGTAGTAATTTTTGTTCCAGGAGCATCACCTGTTCACAGGTGGAAGCTATCTTCCCTCCTTATCCACTGCGGATCAAATTTATTGAGTGTCCGTGCTCCCCATTTTGCACGATGGTCCTCTCATTCACGTGGCCTCCAGAGCCAGACACCTGGCAGCCTCCTACAATCCCCCACACCCGTCAGTCTTTTTGAACTTTGATTTCCCAGTCTGTCTGCCATCATTTATTGCCATTTCCCTTCACCAAAGCCACAGCCACTGTCACCCTTACCTGGACCCCTGCCCCACCTTTCTCTTTGGCTTGTTCCTCCTACTTCAAGCTGGAGTTACATGGCCAAAGTGCAACTCTGATGCTATCAGTCCTGTGCTAAGGCCTTCAGAGGGCCTCTCCAGGCCCACGGTCCAATTCTGTTTGTGATTCTACTGCTAATCTCTTCAGACTGGGTGTCTCTGGTTTCTGCTCACCATCCTTTATCCAGTATCGATGCTGTATGGGCAGTTCCCCTATTCACACTTCTGCTTAAGGATCCCATTCACACGCTGTTCTCTGAAATCTGAGATGGCTCAACCTCATGCCCCTGCTCATCAAATTTCATCACTCAGCCTGGGAGTGACAGGAAGCTGCCTCTTACCATTAGGATGAGCTTTAATAGTACTTCCGCATTCCACCTGCCATGTAGCTCATGTCACAGTCTGTTAACTGTATGGTGATTGCTTAACTTGTGGTTGGTTGCTACATAACTACATGTTGAAAACACTGATTGGAAATGGCTGTTTAGTTGTCAACTACGTGTACAGTAGCCCATGAGTGTTTTCCTACTTAGTATCTATTTTTTGAGAACCTACTATGTGCCAGGTACTGTTTGGTGCTGGATGTTCAGCAATGATCAAAATAAAGATGGACAAATACCCTACTCACATGGAGGCAGGGGTGACAGGTTCTTCACGTCCCATCTTTATTGCCCCTGTCCTCAGTATACACCCTGGTAGTCTGCAAATATTTGAACAAACACGGACCTTCTTTCCCTTCTCCCATTTGATCTTTAACTTTTTGCACATGATTCCTCATGGTGAGATACATGCAGCAGGACAGACACGTGTCTTTATGGTGTGGGACCCTTGGACCAGGGGGGGAAACCTCGTGATGAGCTTTACCCCATTTCCAGTAATCTTTTTTGGATCTGCTGCCTGCTGAGTTATTTTTGGCAAGATCTGAGCTCTGGTATAGTTCACTGGGCTCCCTCCCTTGGACTTTGTTTTCCAAGACTCGTAGCAATAGAAGTGTGTGTAAGATGGTTAGCACTTGTGTTTAGGAAATGTGATATTTAGCAAACACCCTTGCCATTAACCTGCCTCATCTGCCAATTGTTTTACTTTCAGTTTTCTTCACTTTTCCAGATACTTGCCTCATCTATACAGATGCTTTGTTCCTTGGTACCTTGCACATGTGGCCTGTGGAGGAAGTGCTTTCTAAGGACAGTGAACACAAAGGTCTGACCAGCCCCCACCCCCTGTGGGGGTGGCCTTGTTTGCTTAAAGGAGATTGTTGACATGTTGTCGTGGGATCTCTGAAACCTTTGTAAGCACACATACCGTCTTGTTAAATCACAAACCAAGTCAATTCCCTTAGCCTGTGCCCTGGAGTGACTGCCGGGTCTCAGATCACGTGGTCTCTCTTAGATCCTACTTGGTTAAGTTATTTAAGACTCTGCACTAGTCATTATTCTTTTAAACTGATCATAATGCAATCTTTCCTGTTTGTCATAGTCCCTTTGCATTAGACCTGTCACCTCTTTCTGAAAACACAGCTCCTTCATACTCACACTCTCACTCTGTATTCTCAAGTTTACTTAGCAAATGTCAAAAATTTCACCAAACGATGTGGAATTACCATGGCTATTATTAGGAACTTGGTTTTGTTTCTTGTTTTGGAGACAAGGTCTTACTATGTAGCCCTGGCTGGCTTGGAACTTGCTATGTAGACCAGGCTTGACCTTGAACTCATAGAGATCCTCCTGCCTTTGCCTCCCAGGTGCTGGAACTAAAGCCATGTGCCATCTACTGGCCTATGATGAACTTTGGATACTAAAAACAAGGGATTCCAAGAAGGACACTAAACACAAGAGAAGAAAACTCCAAGTCCCAATTCTTCCACACAGGGCTTCCTTACAGCATTCTCTGGCAAGGAAAACAAAGGAAGAGGAAAGTGAAAGATCACACTCCCACTCCAATCTCCTGAAGTCCCCTTTCTTTACCTCTCTTTCCCCACACAACTGTTCCTACACACCCACTCACTTTTCTTTTCTAGCTCTCTGTGGCTGCCTACTCTCTTCAGGGGCCCTCTTTTCTATAATAGCTCAACCTTAACACATAATAATCCCTAAAACTTCCATGCCAGATGATGGATCCAGTGAGGTGGGATTAAACCCCAGATAAGAGTTGGAAGAGTGCAAATATTTGGACTCCTCTCAAATTTCAGAGCAGTAGAAAGTGATTGCACCTAATTCAGGCTAATTCCATTCGCTGCTCTGGAATTTCATATCTGTGCTGATCTATCTATCGAATGCTTGACCATCAAATGATGGGGAAAAAGTACTTAAAAACAGGGTGAAAAAGACCAGACTATCTAAATAACTAATTTTTGTATAATTAAAAAGGAAAAAAGACTTGAGAAACCTTTTTGAAAGCCTCTCTTGAGGACAAAGACTCAGAGTCACAAATGAAATGAAAGTGAGTCAATATGCCAAGCACTTTTGAGGAATATTCTGGGGTGACCAAGAGGTTTTTATAAAATATATTCATTCACACACACACACACACACACACACACACACACACACACACACACACACACACAAAGTTCAGGTTTGAAGTAGGATGTGGTAGTTTGAATAGGAAGAGCCCTCAAAGGCTTATAGATTTGAATGCTTGGTCACTAGGGAGTGGCACTCTTAGGAGATGTGGCCTTGTTGGAGTAGATGTGGCCTTTTGGAGGAATTACACCCCTAGGGGTGGGCTTTGAGGTCTCAGATGCTCAAGCCAGGCCCAGTGTCACTCTTTTCCTGCTGCCTGTGGATCCAGACGTGGAACTCTCAGCTACCTCTGCAGCACCATGTCTGCCTGTGTGCCGCTATGCTTTTCATTATGAAGATAATGACTAAACCCCCCGAAATATAAGCCAGCCCCAATTAAATGCTTTCCTTTATAAAAGTTGTTGTGGTCATGGTGTTTCACAGCAATAGAACACTGACTAAGGCATAGGGAATGCAGGAAAAAAATCAATCAGAATAGGAAGCATCATCATAGACACCTGCTTGTTTTCCAAGAGCCCTAGAATGTTACCTAGAAATGACACTATGGTCTTCCTAATAACATGAGTGACTCCTGAAATCAAAACACCTGCTCTATAAGAATCTGGAGTCTGTTGGTAAGGTACTTATTAACAGCAAAAGTCTACTGGAAGGGATAGTGCACTGTGTCAGAGGATGTGGTAGCTTTCCGCTCCCACTCAGCAGTACTCCCCTGAGGAGACTGTGACACATAGTGCTTTCCTACCTCTCTCCAAACTAATAGTCTTGTGTAATCTGGAGGGGTAGTGGAAATGCTCACTTGTGGACAAGGCACAAAAGCTCTTAGGCTGAACGCCAGTCTTTTCAATGCCATGAGGGGCTAATTGTTCTATGTAACAAATACTTAGGTGATTGCAAGTGGCTGACTCCCCAGTACCTCTAGTGAGTTGTGTCTTCTTACCCAGTCTGAAGGACTAGTGCCCTTGACCATCTAACTCATTTTTTTTCACTGTAACTGACACAGTCATGCAGCCTACACCCTGATGTACAACTGGTCAACCTAAAAGCTTGGCGGTTACGGGTTATATTATAGAATGCCTTTGGATTTTAATTTGACCAACTGGGGTGCCTATACCATTGACAACACTTCACATTGTATCTTCACAGGTGAAGTTGACTTGGATCTCCGCTAAAGGAGTAGGCAGCCTGGTCTTGGAAGTAGATGGCTGTGTTTAGATGTTTAGACAAAGCTCATCTTTTTTTTTTTTTTTTTTTTTTTTTTGTAGAAAATCTGCTTATATAGCCCAGTCTGGCCCTAGAACTCTCCAACCTCTTGCCTCAGCTTCCTGATTGCTGTGTTTACAGGTTTTCTGATTCCTCTTAAGATGTTTAAATCATGGTTTGTTTCCTGTCGTTGAGTATGTGCTTGTTTAGAGTCACATGCTTCCTAGGTACCTCTAGTCCGACACGTAGTACAGCAAGAGATTAAAACAAAGCCGAGAAGGAACAATGCCTCTTGATTCTCAGGCTGGAAACCTGATCTTTGTGAATGGAAAGATGAAACTATTTCTAAGGACAGTCATTGACAGTGGTGGAGATCGGACAAGCTTGGAGGATCTTCTTACAGCTATGATTGAGGGAGCTGGGGGAGGTGAGACAGAGAGGGGAAGGGGGCACCCACAAATCCTAGGCACAGACCCATTCCCTGTGAACATGGTGACAGATTACCATGACTCATCAATTGATGAAACTGCCACTGGCCAATCTGAGTGAAGAGTTGCACACTGGTGTCACCTCACAGTAGGTAGAAGGTCCCAGATGCCCAAGCACCCCTTGCCTCTGGAATCCCTGCAGTCTGTAGCCTTAGTGCCTCCACAGGCCCTCATGCGCTGGCCCTTAGGCTCTGCTCTGTGGTGCAAACACAGCTCTTCACTTAACTGGGAACAAACTCATTTCTGTTTTTCAGGTTGAACAGGAATTGCTCCTCCAAAGTAGTTTATGCACATACAAGAAAGTACAAGTACTCCAACTCCCTCTCTCTTAAACAGCGGTTAACTGCACACTGCATTGGGGACCTTGTCCTTTTCAGTTGGAAATAGACCTTGGAGATCACAGTCTTTGCCTGTGCAACAGGAACTTAGAAGGGAGGTTACTCTAGCTGCAGGCTGCTGTACTCTCCGTGTCTTTCCGGGACAATTTGATGACTGGGAGTTGTATCTGTCTACTCCTCTTCAGAATTTTATGGAGACCAGCAATGCACTTACCAGAACATTATTTGGAAAATAATTCTTTTTCTGAGGCAGGATCTTACGTAGCCCAGGCTGGCCTTGAACTCTATATAGCTAGAAATGGCCTTGGATTTCTGATCCTCCTGCTTCTACCACCCAAGTGCTGGGGTTCCAGGTGGGTACCACCACTGCTAGTTTATGTAGTACTTGGGATGGAACCCAGGGCTTCATGCAGGCCGAGCAAGCATTCTACCATCTGAGCTACATCCCCAGCCCCTTGGGGTGTAAATCTTTAAGATCTCCTTAACAGAAAAATACAGAATAAATAGCTTCTTATAGCCTCAGCTTTTTGGTCTGTAGAATGGGAAATACTGTCTACAGCAAAGGGGCTTGTGAGGACTGAGAGTTATGGAAGTGGCCAGCACAGCCTTCTGGCATACTGTGAAGCTTCAGTATGTAAAAGGATACTAGTGTCCAGGGGAAGTAGGGGGACAGTCTGTGCAGGCTTTCATGCAGTACTATGACCCGCCTCTAGATGGGGGCAGGAGTCAAAGAAGAGGTCCCGGGCTTGTCACCAGGAAGCTGTGAGCATCGGGTCTCTGGGGGACATTAGAACACACTGACCTGGGCTGGAGAGGACGCCCAGTGGTTAAGAGCACTGGCTACTCTTCCAGAGGTCCTGAGTTCAATTCCCAGAAACCACATGGTGGCTCACAGCCATCTGCAATAGAATCTGATGTCCTCTTCTGGCATGCAGAGCACTCGTACATAAAATATAAGTACATAAAATTAAAAAAAAAAAAAGAACAGGCTGACCAGGTGAATCAAGGTCACTGAGGTGAAACAGGCAGGATTCTAGAGCTGGAGAAGTCTTTTAGGGTCAATCAGCTCTGGTGGGGACATGGCAACCAGAGAGAGAATCAGAGGGCAGAGGCCCAAGAGGGGTGGGTGGTGTCTGCTGCTGGTAGCAAATGAAGAGGCATCCACAAGTGTGAGGACTCTGCCATCCTTTTAGTGCAGAAGGGTCCCCACTCCCACTTTTAGGTCTTACCTTTGAGCCTCACTCACTTGTGGCTGGCAGAGAGGATAGGAGGCTGTGATGTCACAGAGCTGGAAACCAGGGAATGTTGGTGACGGGTTCTGGACTGGACCACAAGGCGGGGAGGAGAGAGGCTATTGCTACCTGTTGACCCTCCCTGTAGTGGTCCATTCCTCTGTCCGTGATGCCAAGCTTTCCACAGTTGCTGTCCCTCAGGGCACCAGAATGCAAGTTCTGACTCTGTGGACTTCTTTGAGGGTGTCAGGCCAGAAGGGGGCGCTACAGCACTAGATGCAGAAGGCCTGGGATAGGATCTGTCTCCTAATGTCTCTGGCTAGTGACCTCAGGCAGATGGACTCCATGCCTCAGTTTCTCCTTCTGCAAAATAGGAATAATAGTTATGTGTCCTCTATATATTTCCAAGATGAAATGACACCAGAGTGATGAACATTGGGAAGGTGCCTAGATACTGTCGTAACTGTTCCATGGAAGGGGAGTGGTGACAACATGTGTAAAAAGTGAGTGACATTTCCTCGAAACCCATCTTCCAGAAAAAGGGGAATTGATTCCTAGTGGATTCCTGCAGATGTCTCACCCTATGTGGTGGGCTTTCAGTTCCCTCACTTGGAACATCTCGGTGCTGTTTAGGGAAGTCACATTAGGTCAAACCCCTCTATTAGTGTTGTCTTTGGATGTATGTCAAGGTCATGGTACAGCAGAAGGAGAAGAAAACAAATGCAACCCCGTGTTGGGGTTGTGTGCTAGTGGGTAATGGGGATTCAACAGCCTTTAAAAGCAGTAGTTGCAAACACCACTGCCCAGTGGCAGCACTCAAGGAGTCTCAGGCCTGGCTGCCAATCAGATTCACTTACACCCTTGTCGAAGCTCAGACTGTCTGGGGTCCTTTCCTAGATAAGTCCGAATCTTAGAGATTCCAGAGACCAGACATCAGTATGGCTCCAATGCTTTCCTGGCGATCTCTGTGTGTGATCAAGAAGAACTAAATTGGGTCTGGGGAGACAGCTCAGTTGATAAAGCACTTGCTGTGCAAGTGTGAGGACATGGGTTCAATTCCCAGGATGCACAAATATGTAAATACGATCTTCTGAGCCTGTTGTCTGCTGTTTGCGTACACATGGTTTCAGGGCTGACCACCTTGTATTGGATAAACAGCTAGGGACTCATCTCTGGGGAAGCTAATTCTCCCTCAGCAGTCATTAATTGCCTGAAAAAAAAAACCACCCCAACAATTAGTATTAGAACCTATTATTAGTTAGAACCTATTATTATTATTTCAAGTTAACCTAGTATTAACTTGAAATAAACCATTTTACTTAAAAAAAATAAAAACTCTGTGTGCAGTTTTAATCCTATTGTTGGGAGGGTGGAGAAGGGACTTGCTGAATGGCTATTATAGCCTAACTGGTGAGCTCCAGTCCAATAGAGACCTTGCCTCAAAGGTAGGTGATAAACTGAATGTGATGGTACATGACTTTTATCCCAGGACTTCCAGAGACTGGAAAATCTCTGTGTTCGAGGCCAGCCTATTATCATAGGGAGAATATGTCTTAAAAAGATTAAAAAGAAAACAAACAAATGCACAACAACAACAACAACAAAACCCCAAAAGCCAAGGTAGATGCTGTTTCTGGGGAGGACTCCTGGTATCCTCTGGACTCTACATACATCTGCACATACACTAAAAAAAAAAAAAAAAAAAAAAAGCACTAAATTACATCATGGGAATCATGTGATGTACCTACCTGGTGGCTTTCAACTTCAGGCCACTTTTTATACCATCAGAGAAGCCTTAGGAGATGCCGGTTCTTGTACCCAGCTCAGTAAGATCCCTCTGTGTGTGTGTGTGTGTGTGTGTGTGTGTGTGTGTGTGTGTGTGTGTGTGTGTGTGTGTGTATGTAAGGGTGGAGTGGAATTCAGGCACTAGCAGGCTTAAAAATTCTTTAAACAGCATTGAAAGCTTGGCTTACAGAATGGTTTTAAATTTTTTATTTTATTAATTTTTGTCAGTTTCATACATGTATAATGGATTTTGATCACATACACCCCCCATTATCATCATCCTCCTACTCATGGGAAACCTCCTTCTCCCTCAAAGTTCCCCATCCTGCTTTCATTCTTTTTCTTTCTTTTTGTTTTTGTGCCTTACTGAGTTTAATTAAGGCTGTTTCCATGAGCATGGGTTGGGGGCTATTTATTAACATGCGACTTTACCACTGAAGAAAATGACTTCTTCATCCTTGGTAGTCGTTAGCTGCCAATGGCTTCTCAAGAAAGGGTGGGGCCTCTGGAGTCTCTCCCTCATCTGTGAGGAAATGTTGACGGCCTTGTACAGATAACCACAGCTTCTGTGAGTTTATGAGTGCAATGAGTGTGTCATGTCCAGGAGACAGCATTTTATAGCTCTATATCCACTCTCTATGAGTTCTTAACATCCTTTCTGTCTCCCTCTCCCATGCTGTCCCCTAGCCTTGGGATGAGCGTTACAGATGTCTTACACACACAGCACTCAGTAGTCACTTATCCTGAGAATTTTGACAAGTGATGAGTCTCTGCATTTATTATTACTTACACAACAAGAAATTTCTCTGGCTAAGGTTGAGAACAAAAATCAGTGGGTATAAATATAAATATTTAAAAGGCAGTTTGACAACACATCTGTTTGTTTAGTAAAGCAACAATACTAAGTTCTTCCCTAGGCCTCTTGACTTCCCCAGGCGTGGACTTTTGGTTATGTTTTAGAGTAATGGGTATGAGTTCTTTCAAATCCAATCCCAAAGAAAGTGGTTCTCAGCAGTTTCCATAAGGCTTTTTCTTATTTCCGAAGTTTTGGTTAGTCCTCTTACGCCCTCTCTTCTCTACCTCCTTCCCCCCATGCCTGCTTAACTCTTCCCGACACCAGTTTCCCCTCCTCTCTATTTTCAT